GATAACTACCGTTCGCAGTCAGGCTGGGTCTTTACCCTGAATGGAGGAGCAGTAACTTGGAAAAGTTCCAAGCAGGAAACCGTAGCTGATTCAACGTGTGAATCAGAGTACATTGCAGCGAGCGAAGCGTCGAAGGAGGCAATATGGCTGAAGAACTTCATTGGTGATCTTGGAGTTGTACCTGCCATAAAGCAGCCCATGGAGATTTTCTGTGATAATGAAGGAGCGGTTGCCTTGACCAAGGAACCAAGAGATCATGGTAGATCACAACATATCGACAGAAAATATCACTTTATTAGACATTGTGTAGAAGAAGGACAACTCGTAGTGAAGAGGATATCATCAGAAGATAACCCAGCAAATCCGCTTACGAAGGGACTGAGTAGGGTTAAGCATTTGCAGCATGCTAGGAGTATTGGGATGAAGGATGATATTAGCATAGATTAGATAGGGTGAGATTTTTGGTGGAAATTGGTTGTAACGCCCAATCTCCGGTATGTAATTTAAATTAAGTATTTTCTTTTATTATGGGGTACTCGATGAGTCTGTAGCCCGACTCGTCGAGTAGAGTCGGGATTTGCACGCGATTTAAGTTGGCTACTCGACGAGTCCATATGTTGGGACTCTGCGAGTCCGCCTGTCTCGATGAAGCCCTAATTTAAGGGTTTGCACCTATTTAAACACATTTATGCGCCCCAACTTAGCCTTCATCACCCTCATAACATTTCTTATCAAATCCTAGCCTCCTTGAAGAGTGTGTGAGTGATTGTTGCCTTGTGAAGGAAATTTTGGTGCATTTTAGAGCAAGTAGAAGAAGGATAAGGTTGAAGAATCAAGGAAGAAGAAGTAGATCCAGAACACACTCCTTTGTGGTCATCTTTTCTGGTAATAAAGTATCCATCTTGTTTATTGATCTAATAGATCTAGTTTGTCCCCAAATCGTTGGTATTAAGCTCAAAAACCCCAAATCCTTTGTGATAAAGCCTTATGATCGAGTTATACTTCAAATCTACCTCTCTTGGGCTCCAGGAGCTCAAGGAGATCGCCTTTTTGGCAGCCATGGCTTTGTTTTGGCTTATTAACCCCATAATAGGAGAGTTTGAGTGAAACAACTTCATTTCTTCTTGGTTACACATAAAGTTAGCAAGTTTACGTGTTCAGATAGTCCCATGAGCTTAGATCTACGAGTTAGAGGCTCTGAAGTGGATTAGAATCGACTGTATGGAATTTTCATGCTTAGGACTCAGCGAGTTGCTCTTCGGACTCGACGAGTCGAGTCACGAGTCCCCCGTCTTTCCTCGATTTGTGAGTTCAAGGTGAATTAGTGAGTGGGGAAGGGACTCTGTGAGTTAAAATCAGAGTTAGTAATGGAGGGACTCGGCGAGTCTACACCCTGACTCGGCGAGTCCGTTCAACTGGAAGTTGACTTTGACCAGGAAGTCGACTTTGACCAAGGGTAAAATAGTTCTTTTACCCTGAGGGTAATTATCAGTACCTAATCTAGTGTTTTTGGGATTTGTAGCCAGAGAATTTCGGATCAGTAGTCAGCTAGTTTTAGAGTCAGTATCTCAGTAGCCAGGGATACGAGATGAGTTTTCCTTCCAGTAGGAATGGGTCTACGACCATAATGACAGCCCATCTAGTTAGCAGTAGTTTCGGACTTTGGTCTGAAGTAGTAGTTTAGTGTGCTTGATATCTTTGTGATTCAAGCATGTCTTTGTGTTATGAGTTCCGGACTTCGGTCTGATGCAGTATGCAGTATATGTGTTTATGCTAGTTGTGTTGGAATAGTGTCTAAGCTTACAACTATATTAGGCAAGTATTTGACCCGATTGTGCATGGTCCTTTTTGGTTGCCTTCACCATAGCAACTTGGTAGGATGATTTATTATGAGAGAATAGATATTATTAATATATTATGAGAATAATATAATGAATAATAATATTGTTATTTGATTAATACAAGTCATAGATTAATTAGTATTAATTTGGTGACTTAAAGAGATTAATTAAATAAGAGGGTATAAACTGCCAATTGTTTGATAGTTACACTTTAGGCTGTAAATCCTTAAAGGATATGGCTTGGACGAATTCTAGGGCTTGGGATAGCCTCAAATTCGTCCATGGCTTATCTATGGTAAGGATTAGGATTGCTTAGAGTCTAAGTTATCCAATTAGGGTTTAAGGGTGAAACCCTAGGAGCCTTACAAGTATAAATAGACCCATTGGGATAGGAAAATCGGACCTCCTCTACAGCAAGGATACCCTGGCCGATTTCCTCCTCTCTCCTCTCTCTCAAATCATTCTCTTTGCTAGTTGGTGTTTGTAAGCCATTAGAGGAGTGACAATTGTGACTCTAAAGCTCCAAGAACAAGAAGATCAAACAAGTGTTTCAAGGTATGCTTCTAACTCTGGTTTTGTATTGTTCTTATACCTAATTAGCTATTAGGAGTCTTGGATTCAATGCATGTTTAATTAGAGAAACCTAGATCCAAGCATTAGGCTTTGTATGCGCACATAGGAATGTTCTTATGTACAAAACCCATCAAGTTGATATGTTTATTGTAACAGCCCGGATCCCCAGGTATCTTTACTTTCATATTTATGGTATTCTGTGAGGGGACTCGGCGAGTTGGAGGTCGAACTCCCCGAGTTGGGTCGCGGTTTTGGACGAAGGTCAGGGCCTGGAAAGGTGTATGTGCGTAAGTTGTATTTTGGGGAACTCACTAAGCATTTATGCTTACAGTTGTTGTGTTATGTGTTTCAGGTACTAGCGAGGACCGTGGGAAGGCGTCGGCGTGATCGTACACACACTCGGGGAAACCATTTTTATGATCTTTGTTATGTAATCGGTCGTAACAATATTGTGTACATTGGAACCTAAATTTTATTACTCGATGTTTGATGCTTGTAAAAAAAATGAAAATTTGGTTTTGAAAATTTCGACGTTACATTTATGCTATGCTATGTTATGCTCACCCAGTTCCGGACTTCGGTCCGATGCAGGGTACAAGGTCCCAGTCAGTTCCGGATTTCGATCCGATGCAGTTAGTTTCGGACTTCGTTCTGATGCAGGGGACAAGGTCCCGTTCAGTTCCAAACTTCGATCCGATGCAATTTCCTGACTTTGGTCTGATGCAGAGGGCAAGGCCGTGGTTAGTTCTGGACTTCGGTCCGATGTAGTTTCTGGATTCCATTCCGATGCAGTGGGTAAGGCCCAATAGTTTTTTTATTTTTTATTGTATGGTATGTGGTAGTTTAGGGGAGCTCACTAAGCTTCGTGCTTACAGTTTCAGTTTTGGTTTCAGGTGCTTCCACTAGCAAAGGGAAGAGCTCGGGTTGATGGCATCGCATACACCACCGCTTCAGTTTTATCCTGGGAGTTTTATTCGGATATTTGACATGATTTGATATAGTTTTTATTTTGATACAATTGTTATGACTTTTGAGTTACTCATTCCATAGTTTTACTATGTACAACATTGATGATGTGATTATTAGTAAAATTAAAACAAAAATTTTTGGGTTGTAAATTTGGATGTTACATTGGTTGACATTATGATGAGAACATAGAAAATTTTCTTTTTAGAAGGCCGAGATCGTCATATCCATCAACATGATTGAATTTAGTTTGCATACCCTCAATATACATAAAACAAAATGTCAAAGCTTCGTTTGCAACATAACATTATGGTGTTGAACCTTCTGGCTTTGCTTTGTTTCCGACAAAAAAAAATTAAGTTTTTTCATGTATCTTTCAAAGGAATACATCCATCTCACGTGTACATGTGACATCCAGAAATTTAGGTTAAAGACTGTGAACGGTCAAGTTCACAGTAAGTCTCTTGGTAAATTAACTCATTAAGTTTTATTACACCTAATGTAAAATAAATGAGTTATTTCAACTATTATAAGATACCATATGGTATCTTATTTCCAACAATGTAATCTGACAAATAAATCAAACAACTCAAATTGCAGTCGTAGAAATGTGTTTAAAAAACTAAAATTTGGTATTAAGCAGTTGTGAGCAATACAAACACTCTATTCTCATAATACGTGTTTCCCTGATTCCGAAAATATAAAGAACGTCCAAAACGGCGTTTGTATGCAAAAGATACGATCGTTTTAAGAATCCAAAACTAATATAATACTGATTACTTAAAAACTGTCAAAATTGTTTCTATCTGTTGAGGGACTTGCAAACTTTAAATGGCAATTCCGAAAGCATTTTTGGACTCAAGCTATGACCTAATATTTAATTTCATATTTGAAATATCTTTGATAAAATATTTATAAAAGTCAAAAATACATGTATACAACTTAATTAACCGTGAAACTTTAAACGTCATTTCACGAAGATCAGTATAACAAAGTTCAATTCTGTCTGCATTTTTGGAATCACTGCGGCCTGAACTTTTAGAAAATTTATATGAATCGACACGAGAGCACAAGAATCAAGGTATACATCACGATAAATAAACATATAAAAAAAATATATTGTAGTTATTATTGTGAAAAATGTTTATAAAATACATAATGACAAGGCTAATATATATATATATATATATATATATATATATATATATATATATATATATATATATATATATATATATATATATATATGGTGACGCATGTAGATAACAAATACGTAAACTAGTGTAGATAACCAGTACAATAAATCAATACATATCCAAATTCAACCAAATACATACCCACTGAATCAATTGTACAAATTAATACATAAGTTATAAACATAATACATAGGGAAAAAAAAACCTTTTGCTTCAGTTTACACCCAAAGAAAACACAAAATATATAAAAAAAATCAAAGATCAAACTAATTATATAAAAATGACAGCCAAAAACCATGAGTTTGCTTCCACATATCAACATATCAAATTTTACACACAATGGACATTACTACACTCAAACCCAAAGGAAAACGTATTTCCTTTTCACAATAGAAGTTGTCACAGGATCAACCTTCAACCCCACTCACCCCTCTCTTCTACGTTTCCTCTTAATAAACCCCATGTTTCCTTTCATTCTACATGGATTCCAGTCAAGAAATACAAGAACAATCTTGTTCTTGCCCTTAATTACCCAGCAAACCAAAAAAATAATAATAATAATAATAAAAATAAAAAAGGCAGTTTCCCATTCGTGTTCTTCCTTCTCGCATTCCTGTGAAAATAACAAACCCAATCACCTCTACAAACACCCATCGACTTTCTGTCAAAAGCAAACCCAAAATATCTAATTTGTTCATTTCACAACATCCCAAAACATTGCTGCCACTGTGAGCGAAGAATTTTCTTTTACCTGTTGATGATCGATGACCGCAACTAAACCCCCTGTCACCACCTTCGTCCTTCCCCTGCTCCGTTCGTGAATCAATCTTCCTCCTTCGTGTGTTGGATGACGATCGAACCAGCCAAGAAAACGAACCCCTTTTCCAGTCGTATTCTTCCTTCTCTGCTATTCCCATCGACCACAAAGCCCCGTCGCACCCACCTCTTCTTCTTCTGTCGAGCCTGGTCTCACCCCTCGCTCTCTCTTCTGTTCCTATCGAGCGAGGCCTTCGAAGATTCGCTTAACCGCTGCTGCTACTCGCATCGCTTCGGGCGATTCAGTCTCCCTTTTCCTCCTTCGCACCCTATCAACGGCGAAGCCAGAACGCAGCCTCGCTGCTCCTTCCCATCTTCCCCTTCGGCCTCGTCAGTCCCCAGAGATACCCTCTTCGCCATCGATCAGAAAGAAACGGATTAGCCGCCTGCGAGATTCCTCTATGCCTCCGGTCTTCTTCGTGGTCTGTGACAACCGAGGAATCGTAAGCAGCGCCGACGAGCCCTTCGCTTCTTGCTCTCTTCGTTCGTCTGCCTTGATTCATCCCCGTTCCGTTCTATTTGTTCGATCTGCAAATGACGAAGACGGGAGATAAAGCCAAATTACTTTTTAAGTTGGACCATTAAACACATGATTTAAATTTAAGCCCGAAGTCTTTTAATTATAAAATGACCAAAATACCCTCCCTACCAAAATACTTATTCAAAATAAGTCAATCCCCAAACTTAGAATCAATTTGTTTAAAACAAACCCTTATTTGTTTTTTTTTTACCAAAACAGTCCTAACCATTTACCTAAATTACAAAAAAGCCCCTATACTTTAGTGAAGTTACAAATCAATACCCAATAGTTCAAATTTGTTATAAAATGGTCCCGAGAGTTTTTCCAAGTTCAAGAATGGTGGATTTATGGTTTCTCACTTCCAAAGAAACCGAATTCGAACGTTGGAACTCACGTTTGAATGGTGAGTGTTTATGACCCCTTTTTAATATTTTATTTTATTTTATTTTTTTTTTTTTTTGGGGGGGGGGGGGGGTGAATACATGTGCCTAAATATTTGTTTATACAAATCAATTTCCTTTTTATGCGAAAATACAATAAATCTAGTTTATAAAAATATTATTATTTAACAATTTATCATATTGTTACGAATAAACTATTATAAACTTTTCGTATACGTATTATGGTTGTTTTATCATGAAATAGCATATGCCTTTTACTATAGAGTTTATAAAAGAAGCATACTTCGTTATAAAAGTTAGTGCCTTATATTTTACATACATGTCAAACATACTCGGCTTTTATAAACTTGATGTCATGAAATTCGTTATGCCTAGAGCTTACCCACAAGTAAATTAGGGTTGAGAGCTATTCACAAACTTTTTAGTTAAGGGTTTTTATGAGACGTTACATTATTCATTAGATGAGTCTAAACACTTCACATACCCACACTACTATAACCGTTAATCTTCAGAGCGAGATAAATATGTATCGGTCTATACGGGTTTGACATCCCCCCCTGCGGTTGTTAGCTACAACCCCGACTGATCAATCAAAGCGGGTGATAGATGTCTACAATTGTTACTGCAACGTCCAATGAAGCATTGTAGTCGGGTACACTCAAGTCACATAACTCGGTTATAGGACTCACTATAAATATTAACTCACATATATATATATATATATATATATATATATATTACCACAACTCTTAAACTTGTTTCGTTTAAAAATCGTTTTAAGTATGAAATTACTTATGTCAACACAATGTTTGGATTTTTCAAAGCTTACTTAAATATGGTTTACTTATAAAGAAAACACATTTTCAAACGCTTTTAAAAGTGTCATTACTGGTACTAACAGAAAACCTGTGATTCTCACCAACCTTGTGTTGGCCTTAAAAATTACATGTACTCTTAGGAAATCACTAAACGAACATTCAAGATAGACTGGATTATAGGTGACCTAGTTTACTTTCTGTTGTATTATATGTCTACCTTTTAAGACAATTCATGCATTATTATTATTTGTAAGAAAAAAAACATTATATTCAAATATCAAGATGGAACATGGATGCTAGTTTGTATATTGTTGTACTTGTGCTATATGTTCAGTTTACCTGTGAGCCATGAACTTAGTCGCACAGCCTGACGTGTTTCGACGCCTCGGCCGGGGGTGTGACAGTACAGGCCCTCCAAGAATGGTTTATTCAGGTAAATGAAGAATTACATCAATTATTATGTCGAAAAATGTTGGAGGATATATACTTTCAAGATTGCATAAAATCTTCACCACTTTTTCTTTGGCATTTCTCACGACGTTAACCTCCACTGACCATGCACAAATTGTTTTATGGAATTGAAAGATCTAGTATACCCAATTGGGAATTTAGTATTTATGAAAATAATATTTATTAAAGAAATGACAACTTATGAAATATATCATATAAGTATGATTATTTATAAGTTATATTTATATCTTAGTAAGCTAGTTATAGTTTATTTATATAAAAGATGGTTTATATGTATGTGTGTGTGTGTGTGTGTATATATATATATATATATATATATATATATATATATTAGTTAATTGTTTTATACATATATGTTAGAAATTTATTATATAAATGTTAGCCTTTTATATATGTATACACTTAACTATTTATGAATAAAGAGAGAGCACATCATTTTTTGTCCCCTTGGCTCAAATTTTGTAAATGGCTCTTTAAAGGGGAAAGACTTTTTTTTACTTTTTTTACATCCATACTTGATAGAAACATGTTCCATGAGTTTGCTTTATGTCAACATCTTTTGTCTACATTGGATGTAAGATAAAAGAGTGGACCTACAAGTAAATGGTACTAGTTCTTTTAATTATTCTACTTCTCCTTTTGAATATGAAAAACTGAGAGCACAAATCTCTAAAGGGTATGGAAAAAAAATTTGCATGCTCTTCCTTCTCATCCTTTCTCTTACAATTGGTGCTAGAAAAAAGTCTATTTGTTGGCTTACATTTGAACATATATTTTGTATATATTTCTAAGGCTTATGAAGACCACATTACAAGTGAAATACTAGCATATATGATGGTTCTACTCTTGCTTAGTGGATACTTCTAGAGAGCATTTATTTTGGAGTTTAAAGTCATCTTCATCAACTTTCTTACTGCCTAAAGGAACCAAAATCTTTAAAGGTTGTAACACTGTCACACCCCAAAACCAAGAACGGTGGAAACGTTCCGGGGTGGAGGACGTCATGTACAGTATCACAACAGTGTAAAATAGTAAACAAGCGACAACATCATCCATTTGCATTATAAGTAAAGTTTTAATACATGTGTTCTTTCATAATATAAGACAACATAATGAATAACCAAAATAAAATAGGAGTCTTGATTTCTCCGTCTTCACAAAACCTGGTCGTCGTACCTCTCTATTTGTGACCTGAGAATACAAGTTATTTTGAAAGCGAGTATCAGCCAAAAAGCTGGTGAGTTCATAAGTATTTAAGTGCCATTGCCTTGTTTTGGAAAGTTGTTATGAATTCCATGTAAATCTTTGAATGAAACAGTTGATATAAGTATGAAAACCCTAGAAAATCCCATATTTTCTATCAGTATGAAATGTAGTCTTCTACCAAGACCCGAATGTTTTGCTATAACAATGATAGTTTTTCCTTCTTTTTGACTATTACTAACAGTACTTAGTCTAAATCATCGGCTACGTAAATGTATCACGAAATAAAGTAATAGGAAAAATATAAGCATGTAAGTGTTGTCCTTTTGTATTAGGATCAACACGACATCGCGACTAGCGAAATGTATAACCTTTGAACATCCGTAGATTGTTCGTTTTCCTTTGTAGCTACAGCAGGTTTAAGGAATGGTTAGTCCCGTAAAGGTACTCCTAATATAAGTATTAACCGTAGGCATCCGTAGATGGACATTTACCTCTGTAGCGAACAGTAGGCTAAAGGAATGGTTAGTCCCGTAAAGGTACCCCTAATATAAGTCATAACCGTACACATCCGTAGATGTTCATCTACCACTGTTGCTAACAAGTGGGTTCTGGAATGGTTAGTCCCGTCTAGACATCCCGTTGAACTGGGATAGGCAGGAAAATTTACACATAATGTACTAGTAAATCTAGGTACAAGTATCCATGTAATTCCATACAAATAAATGTATATATGTAAATGTATTCATGTAAGCGTATCTATGTAGACGTATTCATGTAACATGTAATGTATAGTATAGACTCATGAATGAACTAATTCTGGTGTAATTCCTTGTAATAGGAATAATGTTTTGTATCTCCTAACTATCCCTATAATAGTTAACTGGAAGGTAATTAATTGTCCAAGCATGTTTATACACCCTTGCTACCCAAGAGTGTGGGAAACTAAATGAAGGCTGAAAACTATAACATCAATACATATATAAGAACATAAGTGCATAGATATAGTTTTGTCCAGAAGGTAAAAATGGTTTTGTAAGACATCTAAGAGTTTTGAACAATAATTAACAATGACTTGATGTCATTTTAATAAACATTTCAAACGTAATAATTTTGCTACCAAGGTATTTTTAAGATAGAAAACCATTTCATGCATCACATTTTGAAGTATGTGAAATCTGTTGTATGAAAACACAGTTATAAATACATATGAGTGATTTAATAACATTTTGTTTTCTACTTGTATTCCCCCCCCCCCCATTAAAGCATTTAAAATCATTTAAAACATTGATTAAGGGGTATGAACTCACCTGTTGTGAGTGGTACGGATGAACTGAAGAGGTAGGATGGCTAGGTGTCAAGTGAAGTCTTGAACACACTCTATGATCCTAGTTAACATATAATATCACATATATGTATACCATTAGTCTTTAAACAACTAATAAACAAAGTTAAGACACTCTAGGACATGCTAAACACCTTATACAAGTGTTATAAGTCTCAAGGGTTGCATCTAAGTGTTGTAGGGCAAGGCTATTAGGTTTTAGGGTTCAAGAGAACCCCCAAAATGAGTTTACTCCCTAAAGACCAAGACCCCTTGAGTTTACAGTCGTAAACTCCTGAGTTTACGGCATTAAACTCCTAACCTTTTGACCAATTGTTGCTTTGAAGACTTCTAAGCCAATCTAAGCATTCCTACTTCATGTTTAAGCCTTAGGAAGTGTTGTGTGGCATTAAAACACTCCTAAATGGTGTTTACGGTCTAAGGACCATTTCTCCATGAGTTTACTACCTTAAACTCATGAGTTTACTACCTTAAACTCATAAGTTTATGGTATTTGGGTTTTTCAAGTCCTTAGCTCAATCATGACAATAGTCTAGGCTAGATTTAGACATAAGGAATAACTATGGGACATTTATACAACTTTTAAGGTGTTTACGGTTTTGGGAGATCCCCAAACCGTAAACACATATAAATGTATGATTTTTGTGCTTTTTGTGTGATATACTCATCAAGGATGGATCTAGACAAGTCCCTAAGGCATTGTGAAGCATCTAGACACCCTAAAGCACCCTTTGGCACTATACTC